GATGGCTTAGGCTTACAGTGTGAGGCCTGGCTTGAATCTGAGGACTGCTAGTGGGTAATTTTCAGTCTGACCAGTCCTTGTCGTAGATAGGGCAAGCACTTGAGGGGATAGAAACAGTTCCAGTACAAGTATTAAGGGAGGGGTGAGGTTCGGCAGGAATGGGTTTGCCAGTAAGGTCAGTTAGGGTAGTGCATGAGCTTGGGATTCAGATGTAACTGTGACAAGGCATGAACGATCTGAGCAAAATGTAATCTTGCCTACATGTTTCTGGAGGCACTTTTGAAAGAGAAGGGTATTCTCAGAATAGAGGTCTGTGGGGGGAATCACAAAGAATCGATCCCACTTTCATGAGCCAAAGAGAGTACATGGAAGGTTTGCAGAGGTTGAGGCAGTAGAAAGAAGATGGGGTGGTGTGGAGTGGAATAGTTCTGTGGGGGAGAGGACAATAAGGATGAAGAGTAGTAATACGGGAAGAGGAGAAAGACATTTAAGAGGACTGTGCAGTAAGAGATGGAGAGGAGAATATTGGGAGAGAGGAAGGGGTGCTTTCTAGAGGTTGAGTAATAACCTGGGTGGGTGTTTTGGAATGGATAGTTATTCGTAAGCATCAAAGAGGGGGTATTAGTATCAGTGGTTGGAACCATGGTCAAAAGAGGGGCAGGGGTTGGAAAACCATCAAAATCAAATTTAGATAGGCTAGTTGATGAAGGGGCAAAGCCTTAATGCCCCTATTAAGGGTAAAGAATCTTCATTACTGGTCATGGTGAGCCTGAATAAAAGAAACGGTCTACCCCTCAGGGTCCCCATAAGGGGTAAGGGATAGGTAATTAACCAAAGGAATACCATGCCCATGGCTTCCAGAGGCCATTCGTGACTGACACAAAGCCAGCATTTCATACTTTCAGCATGTCTCTTACACCTTAGGAATGGGATAGAGGAAGGGAATAAAAGATACGGAAAAGGAAAGAGAAGGACCAAGCAAAATTAGTTGAGGCGAAGTTGAGGATGAAGGTAGGGGTGATCCCCTACATTGGGTCTCAGTCCCCGTCTCCTAAGCCCTCCTACAACAACAAGCTAGGTATTGGGAGGGCGGTATTCATAGTAGCCATATTTTAAGAATCCAAGACTGCTCTCGCTCCACCTGACAAAATTAGCTTGAAACCCCAAAGAGGCTAATTCATTTTATTAAGAAATATTTACTGTAGCACACTTTTTTCATTTCAGTGGTCCCTCTAGATCATTTGGATTTCAAGAACTCATAGTCATATAATATAATTATACAGTTACTATACTCAGTGCAATAAATATGCTCCATTCTGTAGTCTACAGATTAGTACTGTGTTTGTACATGGTAATTAAGGTAACAAAATAATAGGCTACATAATTTTTTTTTTTTTTCTTTCAATGAAATATTGTACATATAAGCTCTTTGCAAAGAACAATATAGACAACAATCACATAAGTATTATTAAGCTTAACATATGTACAAAAAACACAATATGGTTATTCTAACTACGGAAGTCTATACAAAGAGAGTGAACAATCACTCAGAATACATGGTGTTATTGCTTTGTCTTTTGTTTCACTGATGTCTGAGAGGTATTGAAGAGAATGAAGAGAAGAGCTGCAGAAAATCTTGCTTCGAGATCATACTGGTCAAGGTCATGTGCCCATTCCACAGATCCCCAACGAGATGTCTGATGGAGGAAAAAAGGCCTGCATTAAGAAAAGTATTATGGGATTACACACTTACCGCTCTGCACCCTAAAATAAAATATGATTAGCATTACAGGATTGGCTTTTATTTATAACAAGTTCTTTGGTTCTCATGTAGTGAAGGCTTCTATGATGCATTGCAGATTTGAACAGCATTTTAAGAAAAGTTCTTTATATTTCATGTATTTCACATGAACCTAGATGATTTCAAACATAAATATGTATATGAAAGATTGGCTAACAACAATGATCCTCAGCCCCACTCTAACTGTAAGAGCAAACATAATATTGAATAGGTGTAGAAGTTACAGCCTGCTACAATAAAATATGATAATCATACTATAACTGTATTACTATACCAAGTAACTATAATAAACTGTGACATTTGTATAATACTGTAAAATCTGAAGTATACATATATGCCTGTCCTTTACAAAATTCATGAAACTAAGTGTTGAGGAAAAACTTGTTTAGACTTCACTGATTTTTTAAATGTAAGAGGCAACTCTTTATTATAATCAGAAAGAACAGACAGAACAACCACTTTTTGTGATTATGGTTCAGCATTCACCAATTGGTAAATCTGTACTCCAATAAACAAACTTAAATATTCTTTGCAAAATGAATATACCTACCTATTCCAATTCACTTGTAAAATTCTTTAATTCTATGAGCTTTATTCTGCTGAATAGATCTGGAGAAGCATAGACAGGCCCACTTACCTGGTACTGTAGTTCTAGCCTAGAGAGTGCAACAGCCTTTTCTGCTGTCAACTTTCGTTCTGCAGCTGCCACAGTTAATATCACAGATTTCAATGCCTCCACGCCATAGAGAAATCCTGTTGATACATAATGGACAACAGTCACAAAAAATCAACAATCTTTTTTATGTTTTTTAACAAGTATCCAAAAAAACAATAATATTAACACAGGAATAAAAGGAGAATACCACAAACAGTAGTCTACTACCATACTGCTTTGTTTCAACATAATATATCATATCCACAAACACAAACTAACCAGTGATGGCCCAAATGTCGTAAGACAGGAGATACCGGCGTATACTTTCCCGGGCTTGCATGGGAATGTCCGCACCGCATATTCCAACTGCAGGCTGGAGGTCAATCTCAAACTTCTTATTAAACCATTCTATCACAGGATCCCACTCTCTTCTCTGCAGCTCTACGAGGTCATCTGTGGTCTGTAATATATTGACAATATTAAAGGAGACATTAATATTAGGCTAAAACCTTTTAGCAGTATACCATAGTCTTCAATCATGGTCTTAAAAATGCCAATTATCCACCAAAAAGGAAAGATGTTCCAATACATCAAATACATTTTACTCTATCTCTTTATGTCTTCATCTTCTACATTTCATATCCAGCAAAAACTCACATAAATGTGCTTCTTACAAAGACATCAATTACTTTATAGACAAAGAAAATTGCAAAAATTCATATAAATTTGTCATATAAAAAAAACAATATAATTCTTTCTTTGCACTGGTTACAAATGCAAATACACTCCCATCCAATACATTCTTAGGCATTGTATTTTCAATAGGCAAAGATAAGAGCTACCCAAAGATGCTTATGAATACCTTGGCTGTAATGTCTGGGTACACATAGGTAACATAATAATTCTTTTTATTCCTTGCAATGAAATATTGCACATGTAATTACTTATCAAAGAACAATATAAACAACAATCACTAGTGGTTCCGAAGGTTAACCAATTCCTTTTTTCTAAAAGAGTATAATATTACAAAATATAGTGAAACAAAACTGTAAATACTTAATGTTCTAATTCATCTACAAACTAATAGAATCCCTACATTCATATTTTATCTTTGACCTATTCCTTATCATTATTTCCAGACAAAGTGGCTTGGAGAATTAAGCATTTTCCTCAAGAGACAGACTTGTATTCATGGCCTAGTAAAGAAAAAGAAATATATTACAAAGCATTAAATTTCTACTAGGAAATATTACCTGTATTTAGATATATTATCACATATAATATCTTGATTTTATTGAGAAAAAAATACTACAATAAAATTGTTACACATACCTCACCCGGGAACAATACTGTGTCTGTTTCAAGGTATTCCAAAATCTTGTCAGCAAAATCCCACTTTGTTCCTCTGGCTGGGTTGTCCAGTACAGTGTTAGAAAGAGATGTCTGTAAAAGGAGTAATCCCTATTATTACTGCAACCTTTATTTATACTCCCAGTTTGCTAGATTATTATTTTTTATTTTTTTTCAACTCTGGATGTAATAAAATGCATTTTAAAGACAAGCTAAATCATTATTTTGAATTTTCTGCTTCTGAAAGCATAACTTACATAATATCTAGAATATGAACAATAAACAACCACCGCTTTCATAGATTCATTTGATTTAGAACACCGAGATGTATTTTGCATTTATAAATTTCATACATAACCCTTTCATGCACATGATGCAAGGAAAACAGTGATATAATAATTTGACAATACTTTATCTTTTCAAGCTTCTGAAACATTTTTCCTCACATATTATTAGATTCCATTGAAGGGAAAGACCTCACTCAATTAATGCAGTTTCTAACCTTCCACATCAAAGAAAAGCTAACTAGGGGATTACATTAAATTTCTTGATAATTAATATTCAAAACAATAATTACAAACAAACTTTTCAACATTCTTGTCATGCCTGGTTGATATGTTTATTTATTATGTATATTTATTAGGTAACAGATACCACTAGCCATCATTATACAGTTACACTTTATATCCATTCTATCATGCATACTTTGCACTCCAGTAGCTGGATGTTTTTGCAAGCACTTAGGCTAAAAAAAATCACAAAGGCCCCATATTACTTCACTGTCTAAATCAAGGCCATAAATCGGTGCACATATGGTATGAGAACAAGCACACCATCTGCCTGTGTGTGGTGTGCGCTGCTAAGTTTATATGGCTTATCTGAGGTACACATATGGAATAGGTCTACCTCAGTGTTGCAACCAATAACGACTTCTTCATTAGTTAAAAATGCAGCATTCCCCCTCTTTCAGTTTGTCACTTACCAGGTGCATCAGGCTGGGTTGGATCTTGTCCTTGACAGAAGCCCACTCATGTGCTACAGCCAAAGCCAACCCATGGTTTGGCACCTGCAAAGGATGCATAAACATAATATTACATTTATAATCATACTGCATTACTACTAAAGGCTTAATATAAATTTATGAACAGAAGTTACGAAAACAATTTGACAATCACATTTACCAAACTCTGAGCCATACTTTGAGATATACCAAAGTCAAACAAGCCAATTATAGATGTTCTATATTATAACCTAATCAGTTTTTACATCAATAAGTACAAAAAGTACAAAACCAAGACAGTCATAAAGGGACAAATGTATTTTCACTGTTAAGAGAATCAAAAAAAATCACACAGATGCTATCTTAAACATTGTTCTTCTAATATTTTTCACTGAAACCCAGTTTGATTTCATGATTCCCTTCCAATCCAACTGAATGTCTACAGTAAATAACTTAATATTTCGTAAATATCTCCCTCTATCTGGCCTGAAATCTATTCTGGTTTATGCACAAAGAAAAAAAATCAGAAACATTGCTCATTTATTCTATATCATCATATTCATTACTTATTAAAGAAGACATAATAACCCACTGACCACCAGCTCATGACCCAGACTAAGTAGAACCCTAGCCTAGAGCTTAAGGAAAATTTTTTTTACCTGAAACACATTTCCCATTGGCGTCTTCAACTTCCTGTGATCCAAGTTTACTTCATAATCATTACCAGTTCCCGCCACTGTAACACTCCTGTAAAAGCGCCTCCGAGCTGAAAGCAAGTATCTCATTCAGTTTTGTATATAATGATTCCTTACAATCAAACCAAACAAAATTGATCTTAGTTTATTCACTTCTGTTAACAGAATCATACATCATTATCATAAATTATCATATTATACCACTTCAGTAAAAAAATATATATTACAAAGCATCACCATGTGTGTGTGAAGAATCAATATACTTTCCATTTATCTAATCTAATAATTTATTAAACATATTATCTAATCATATTCTCATCAATCTAATTAAATTTACAAACCATTTTTACTCAATTATTAGTTTATCTCAACACAGTCTTGATTACCTTCAGGAAGAAATCGCTGGCTGATGTGCACTGGAGACTGCGGCATCAGTAGCCTTCCCACAGCCCATCTTATGGGTCCCATATTTAAAGATCTAAAAGACGTATTCATTTTATATCAAATAAGAATCATCAATGCTTCTGAAAATTCTACCATCTTAATTATCTATAAAAATAGAAAAAATGTCCATGCTGTTATCAAATTTGAAAAACAGCTACCTCTAACCATAATAATGTATATATTCAAAGCAGTCAACAAGTTCATCACAAAATAAAAATAGAAAATAAACAACAACTAATACAACTTTATTATATGTCAATGCTTATAATCATATCCTAGCATTCTTTTGTGTTCTTTATGACCATTACATCTTTTTTGTCTGTATGGTCCTATATGGGTTAATTACTGTTATTTTTCACACACACACACACACACACAGACACACACACACACACACACACACACACACACACACACACACACACACACACACAGACAGACAGACAGACAGACAGACAGACAGACAGACAGACAGACAGACAGACAGACAGACAGACAGACAGACAGACAGACAGACAGACACACAGACAACAGACACACACACACACACACACACACACACACACACAACACACACACACACACACACACACACACACACACACACACACCCACGTACGTATGTGTGTGTATGTGTTGTGTGTGTGTGTGTGTGTGTGTGTGTGTGTGTGTGTGTGTGTGTGTGTGTGTGTGTGTGTGTGTGTGTGTGTGTGTGTGTGTGTGTGTGTGTATGTATATATATATATATATGTATATGTATATTATATATATATATATATATATATATATATATATATATATATATATTTCTTACTTATATCTACTTGAAGTTAACTGTAATCTGTGTTGAAAGGACTACAATGACAGCAACAAGTGCTACCATGGCCTCAGCATTATATACTAAGGAAAAACCTAATATTTCCACAATAATAACAATGGCTATACAGGAGTGAGCGGAGTAATTTGCCTAATGGTGCTGCAAACAAGATTAAGAAAGAAAATGGCAAGTAAAACGAGATAAACAATATTGAGAATATCATTACAGAGACTGAGAATAAGATTAATGTTACTGAGAGCAATGCACATAGATAGAGGGAAATGGACACTGTCGTCTTATAGAGCATAAGAAAAAAAGAGTCATAACAGACTAAGATCTCATTTTCACCCAGATTGGAAACTTTGCAAAGTGCACGACAGAGTTGCTGTTTAGAAGCAGAAACTGTGCAGCTACACGTACAGATTGATACAAAAATGCGCGGCTGAGTAAGAGTTGCTGGTTTTGTTGGTTCAATCAGTCAGTTATTAGCTTCAACTCAAGGAATTCCCAGTTCGTAGTTGCACGTTTAAGTCTCTAATTACTAAATGGCACGGCTGAGAAAAGAATTCGTCCAAAAGTGCCAGAACTAAGCTGAGATACCAAGCGCACGGTGGATTTATGCACAGCAAACTTTCCAATCTGGATTTTCCCCACAAAATACGGGAATATCTATAGGTTGGCTGGAGTTGCTAAAAAAAATGGGAGGTACAGGGTGACTTGCCCTCCTCAACCCCATCCCCTCAAGGTTTTTGGGTTCACTTGATAACCTGGTTTTGGAACTCAAATAACTTTGAATTTTAATGCCTGTGGAAATGAGATTATTCGGTATTATTGAGAATCCCAAATACAAATACGTAATATTCCGTTATAAAAAGAAGAGCTACTATATAACTTCAAATATAAACTTTACCGTTAAATAACAATTTCAGAATATCAAAGAATATATGATGACAAGAGACGACTTCTGGAGAAAATAAGAAAGAAGTTCCCCGGTGTGTCCCCGACCCGGCTCCTCCAGACGCTCCTTCACGCATGTAAACATTGGCGGGTCGTTTGCGGTCCGAATCTGACCCCTGGCTAGAGCGTATTCATTGCTCCTCGGTCTCCTTCATTATTATATTTATATATTTGCTAACATACATCTTTATTATTGTATACACACACACACACACACACACACACACACACACACACACACACACACACACACACACACACACACACACACACACACACACACATAATATATATATATATATATATATATATATATATATATATATATATATATATATATATATATATATATGCATACACACACAAAGAAATAAGTGGGAAGTAGGAAGAGGATAAGTAAAAGGGAGAAGATGATCAATAATGGGAAGCACAAGAAAGAAGAAGAAGAAGAAGAAGAAGAAGAAGAAAGAAGAAGACGAGAAAGATGAGAAGACAACGGAGAGGGAAGAGGAAGCAAAGAGAGGAAGGGAGGAAGGGGAAGCAGAGAGAGGAAGGGAGGAAGGGGAAGCAGAGAGAGGAAGGAAGGGGAAGCAGAGAGAGGGAAAGAGGAAGGGGAAGCAGAGAGAGGAAGGGAGGAAGGGGAAGCAGAGAGAGGAAGGGAGGAAGGGGAAGCAGAGAGGGAGGGAGGAAGGGGAAGCAGAGAGAGGAAGGGAGGAAGGGGAAGCAGAGAGAGGAAGGAGGAGGAAAGAGAGGATGGAGGAAGGGGAAGAGAGAGAAAGAAGGGGTGGCTGCCCTCTTATGCATCTGCGTCTGAACACTTGCACAGATGGCACGCAGATGCACTCGCACTCGCCTCTCTTCTCTTCCTTCTAACACCTTCTTGTTGGTCTTTTTCTTTCTCTCCTTCCTTTTGTTTATCCACCTCCTTCTTAGTCTTTTTCTTTCTCTCCCTCCTTTTGTTTATCATTATTTTCTACTCCTACCTTCATCTCCTCTTCTCTGACTTCATCTTCGTCTTCCTTTTTTCTTCTCCAGCTTTATATTTTTTTCTTCTCATATTTCTAATCTTCCTTTTTCTCGTCTCCTCCTCTTCCTCTTCTTTCTCCCCTTTCCTTTTCATCTTCTTCCTTTTTCTCCAACTCCTTCTCCTACTCCGCCTCCTTCCTCACCTCTCCCTTTCTTCCTCATCCTCCTCAATTTACTCTCTCCTTCTCCTCCTCCTTTAACTCACTCCTTCTCCTCCTCTTCTTCATTCTCCTCTTCATGCTATCTCCTTTGATTCTTCTCTTATTACGTAATCCTCTTCTCTCCTCCTCCACTTCCTCCTTATTTTATCCGAATGCGATTTAGCACCTTCTTATCGTTTCAAATTAATTCTATTGTGGAATTTGCTCGTGAATTAACCACGTGATCTTTTTATTTGACGCAAGAAATTGTGTGTGTGTGTGTGTGTGTGTGTGTGTGTGTGTGGTGTGTGTGTGTGTGTGTGTGTGTGTGTGTGTGTGTGTGTGTGTGTGTGCGTGGTGTGTGCGTGTGCGTGCGTGCGTGCGTGCGTGCGTGCGTGTGTGCGTGCGTGTGTGTCTTTGAGGGATGAAAAAGTATGTATAGGAAAGGAAAGGTTTACAAGGAAGAAAAGATGTGAGGAAGAAAAGGTGTTTGACGGGAAGAAAATAAATACGTGTAAGTGAAGGGAAGGGTGTTTGAGGGGAATAAATGACATGTGATGGAGAGAAATGGCACTTTAAGGGAAGACAAGGTGTGCCTGAGGAAGAAAAGGTAAGTGAGGGAAAGAACTGTTTTTCGAGGGGAAAAAAGGGTGTCAGGGAAAAAATGCGTTAAAATTTCGTCTATGAAGGGAAAAAAGGTATTTATAAGGGAAAGAAAGGGGATTTAAAGGGAAGAAAAGATAGAAAGGAAGAAAGAGAATGCGTGAGAGACAAGCAAAATTGAGGTAAATAAAGATCTTTGCGTAAAACCTCCTTCGAAGACGTGACAAGTGACCTTCTCGGAAATTCCATCACGATGCTAATGTGGACTACGAGCTCAGGATTTTTTAATAACTTACTTCAATTTATATGTATATTTCTGTACGAATTCGTGAATATATATACAGACACATATGCACTTATATACCCATTATAAAAAAATCAATACAATCTGGAACAAAAAACAACTTGGTTTTCAACAGTATCTAATAATGGAACACCTTTGTCCCAATATTTCCTGTTATAAAAATGTAATGTGACGTTGCTATCTAATTCACAACAAAGAAATTCTACAA